CTGTATGTGTGTGTGCAGGGTGGGGAGGATTGGTGGCAGGGAGATTCCCAAGGACCCTCCCCCCACCATGAAAAAGAAAGAAGATAAAAACCAGAGGTGTCACTAACTGATTCTTCATTCTTCATTTCCCTTGAGGAGGAGATTGCTTGTCTCCCAAACAAGGGACATCACAAGTTGGAGAAATGGTGTGGGGCCCGTGGACCAAGGAGTTGAAACTGAAACCTCTCCATAAAGCTGGAACCTTCAGAGAACCCCACCCTTAGTAAAGGTGTAACTAAAACAACTTTATCTTTCAGCAATGGGAGACTACTAAGAAGCTGGTCAGCTTCACCTTGGGCTCTAGGTGGAAAAAAAATTTCTTGTGAGGATTCTTAACCTTGGATGAGCCGTCAGGTTAGTCTGAGAAATGCTAAAGCAAGATATTAGGTGCCAGGCAGAAGTAAATATTAAACATCTCTAAAGAACCATAACTTTTACCTCATAATGGTTGAATTATATAATAATTATATATTAAAAGATGTTTTAATGAATTACATAATAATTTCATAATGATATAAGAAAAGATGTTTTAAATAGGTAAAGAATGAATCATTTGTTCATGATACATCTTCAGAAAACTAGAGAATAAGAAATTTACTCAATTTAGTAGAGGATGAATACTATAACCTACAGCTAATATCGTTCTTAAAAGTTGAAATTGGGAATGCAAGATAAGGATGTCAGCTCTTACCATGTTTAGTCAACATTGTTGACTAAAACTAGAGGTTTTAGCCAGTGCAATAAAGCAAGAAAAAGAAATAAAAGGTATAAATATTGAAAAGGAAGGAGTACATCTACCTTTTTTCACAGATGACATTATTGTACACATACAAAACCCAAAGGAATTTCCAAAGTATTAGAACTATTAATAATAATTTAGCAAGGGAGTTAGATAAAAGGTCCATATTCAAAAATCAATTATACTTCTGTATATGTATTATGTAGTTTCCAATGGCTGCTATAACAAATTACCATAATTGGTTTAAAACCACACACACTTATTATCTTATAGTTCTTGAGGTCAGAAGTCTGAAATGGGTCTCACTGGGCCAAAATCAAGGTGTTAGTAGGGCTGCATTCCTATCTAGATACTCAAGGAGAGAATCTATCCTCTTGCCTTTTCCAGTTTCTAGAAGCTGCCCCTTGGCTCATGGTCCTTTTTCATCTCCAAAGCCAGTCTTTCTCATATTGCATCACTCTGACACTATGACACTGACTCTTCTGCTTCCTTCCACATTTGAGGACTCTTGTTATTATATTGGGTCCATGTAGATAATTCAGAATAATATATTTTAAGGCTAGTTAGTTGATAAGCAACCTTAATTCCATCTGCAACTTTAATTCACCTTTGCGATGTTATGTAACATATTGGCAGGTTCTAGGGATTAGAACATGGACCTCTTTGGAGGTGGCATTGTTCTGCCTATCACAATTTATTATAATCAGGTAATTAGAAAATGAAATTTGAAAATGCCATTTACAATAACATCACAAAATCAAATACCCATGAATAAATTTAATTAAAAATATTCGAGGCTCCTCTACTGAAAACTAGAAAACAATGTAGATAGAAATTAAAGAAGGCCTAAATTAATGGAGAGATAGACCATATTATTCATGGATTCTAAGGCTTAATACTTTATGATGTCCCTTCCTCCCAAAATGATCTGTGGATTCAGTGCAATCCCAATCTAAGTCTCAACATATTTTTTGTAGAAATTGGCAAGCTGATTCTAAAATTTATATTGAAATGTAAAGGACCCCTAAGTGCAAAGACAATCTTGAAAAAAACAACCTTGGAAGACTTATGCTACCTGATTTCAAGATTTCCTAGACAGCTACAGTAATTAAGACAATGTGATGATGCCATAAGGAAAGACAAGTAAATAGAGCAAAACAGAGTCTAGAGATAGATCCACATACACATGGTCAATTGAATTTTGACAGACGTGCCAAGGCAATTCCGTGAGGAAAGGAAAATTTTTTTTCAACCAAAGGCCCTGGAGCAACTGGATAAACATATGGAAAATGGAATTTAAAGCATGAAATAGGATTAATGATATAATACAAAAAGACCAGACAGCTTGACTAGTGCTGGGGGAGTTGGATGGGCTTGAATGGAAGAATGAAATAAGATTTCACTGCCTTTTGTTGGCGGAGGCTTACTTCCATCAGTTTTGTAAAGCAGTACCCTCCATCCCTCCCCACTGGCTCTTTGAGGAGCCGGAAGAGGTAGTAAGCAGAATTCCAAGATGAGCCCAAGATCCCCACTCCCTGGCATACATGCCTTGTACAGTTCCCTCTCCTTGAGTGTGGGTGCAGTCTGTGAATTTGATGGTTTGGTTACTACGCTGATTACCTTAAGTTATATAAAGCTCCATCACCGCCAACTTGGAGGGGGAAAGGTTGGAAGTCAGGGACAAGCTCCTGCTGGCCCATAGGAAAACAAACATCCACATTGTGAACTTATCTATGGGGCCCACATCGAAAGGAACTGCAGGCTGCCTCTAGAAACTTGAGAGCAATCACCAGCTGACAGGGAGGGAGTAAACAGGGATCTCAGTCCTACAACCCCAAGCAGCTGAATTCTGCCAACAATCTGAATGAGCTCGGAAGAGGAGTCCACACCCTTTGAGACCATAACCTCATCACCTTGACTGTAGCCTTGTGAGACCTGAGCAGACATCCTGCTAAGCTGTGCCCATGCTCCTGGCCCATAATGCAGGTGGAAGATCCATCTAATCTGCAAAACTCAGCCTGTTTAGGACCAGTTTTGATTTCTCTTTTCGTCCATGACTTAGGGATCAGTCTTCCCAGGGTGGACGGCCAAGCTGTTTTGGACATGGTTGGAACAGAATAATACCCACCATCCACTGAGGATTGAAAGGCCCGTTTTGGGTAAAAGGAGTTAACATTGCTCTGAGTCTTTGACCCAGCCCCCTCCTGAATCCTGGATCTAATCAAGCATTCAGAGTTAGAGTAGAAGGTCTAGATCCTTCTCACAGAGCGTATTGAGCTGGGCTCTCAAAACAGGTTTGGGGTGGACCTTTGGAGCATTGAAAACCACGCATTCACTGTACTGGTCATGCCTGTGAGTAGGCCTACAGTGAGGTGCGCCCTTGGACACTTGGGAGTTCATTCTGAGGACAGCAGGTAAATTCTGACCAAGTTTTTGGGATGCAGTGACCAGTGAGAACTGATCAAGGTGGACCTTCATGTCTCAGGACCTATACGTTGTTGATTCTGCTGCTTTGAGCATTTTAATATCTATAATAAGTTGATTTGGGAAGGCAAAGTGGATATGCAAAACCACATCATTTTCCTTTTCTCATTGCAGAATCAAAATTACAAGGGCCATGGATTGTCAAAGGGAAAAGAGCGGTGAGTGGTTCCCCCCAATCCAATAAGCATAGAACAATTGACTGCCCTTCCTTCCTCACTCCTCTCCCTTCTTCAATAATGATAATAGGCCAATCATGGTGACTTAGCCTGTAATCCTAGCACTCTGTGGGAGGCCAAGGTGGGAGGATCACTTGAGTTCAGGAGTTGGAGACCAGCCTGAGCAAGAGCAAGACCCCATCTCTACTGAAAATAGAAAAATTAGCTGGGTGTTCATGGCTCACACCTGTAGTCCCAGCTACTTGGGAGGCTGGGGCAGGAGGATCGCTTGAGCCCAGGAGAGTTTGAGGTTGCTGTGAATTTTGATGATGCCACTTGCACTCTACCCATGGGTGACAGAGCAAGACTCTGTCTCAAAAACAAAAAGTATTTAAACTGATAAATTTTAAACTACTTATTAATTCATTTATAAAGCAATAATAGGCCAGGCAAGGTGGCTCATGCCTGTAATCCTAGCACTCTGGGAGGCCGAGGCAGGTGGATTGCTCAAGGTCAGGAATTCAAAACCAGCCTGAGCAAGAGCGAGACCTGTCTCTACTATAAATAGAAAGAAATTAATTGGCCAACTAATATATATAGAAAAAATCAGCCGGGCATGTGTAGTCCAGCTACTGGGGAGGCTGAGGCAGCAGGATTGCTTGAGCCCAGGAGTTTGAGGTTGCTGTGAACTAGACTGACGCCACAGCACTCACTCTAGCCTGGGCAACAAGTGAGACTCTATCTCCAAAAAAAAAAAAGCAATACTCACTACATGGTAGCATAAATAAAATTTTTATGAACTATAGTTATATTCCCCGATTTACTGAGATGATAATAATGTTTTACATTTTTGTGAATCTCTTTAATGTCTGGATTAGTAGAAAACATTGGATTCCAAATCTCTCGTATTTAATCTGTTATGATACGTTGTTTGGTGGAGGATAGGAAGAGAATTCACCCTCACAAAAATAGTAGTTGGATATATGTGTGTGTGTATATATATGTATATTATATATATGTGTGTATATTATATACACATATATATGTAATATAATATAATTATATCAATAATATATAAATTATATATAAATGTGTGTACCTCTGAAAGAGAGTTGGGGACCCTGAGAGTAGTGGACAATATTTCACACCCGTGGCTTCTAGGGATTACAACATGTGTCCTTACCTTATCACAGTCTGCTCTACTCAGTATTATACCATGTCATGTCATTATGTAAGGAAGATACAGGGGAAATTGTTCATTTTTATGCATAGGTTCAACAAAGTATGGAGAGCTGTGTAGAAATATGATGGGACAAAAAAGGGGTATGATCTAATGCTAGCAGACTGGGTGGGACAACGCAGCAAGGCCTGTCTGTTAGATTCTCTTGGGCTCTGGAGCAGCATCCCTTCCTTCTGGGTGTGGGGCAGGGCTCTGTCTGGAATGGGGGGCTTATTATGACATACAGTCAAACAAAGGAGGTCAGAGAATTTCATTATGGCCAGGTTTACATAGAATGTTTTTAGATTTATGGCTGGAATTCAAGAAAAGGGGTTCTGGTTTCTATGACCTGCCTGGGAAACAGGGATTCTAGTTTCTGTGGCTAGCCTCAGGGGAGAATGGGACTGAGAAACAGAGGGCATGGGAAGGTCAGAGATAAAACTTCTGCTTCTGAAGCTTTCATTTTCAGGTATTGTTTTCTGAGCTTCAACAATCCCATATGCCCTTTTTTTTTTTTTTTTTTTTTTGAGACAGAGTCTCACTTTGTTGCCCAGGCTAGAGTGAGTACCTTGGCGTCAGCCTAGCTCACAGCAACTTCAATTTCCTGGGCTCAGCGATCCTACTGCCTCAGCCTTCAAGTAGCTGGACTACAGGCATGCCCACCATGCCGGCTAATTTTTGGTATATATATTTTTAGTTGGTCAATTAATTTCTTTCTATTTTTGGTAGAGACGGGGTCTCGCTCAGAGCTGGTTTTGAACTCCTGACCTTGAGCAATCCGCCTGCCTCGGCCTCCCAAAGTGCTAGGATTACAGGCGTGAGCCACCGCGCCCAGCCTAATCCCATATGCCCTTTACCCAGTTTCCCTGCATGATGAACTCTATAGCAAAATTATAGTACAATATCCACAAAGGGGCAAGCATGGTGGCTCATGCCTGTAATCCTAGCACTCTGAGAGGCCGAGGCGGGAGGATCACTCAAGGTCAGGAGTTCAAGACCAGCCTGAGCAAGAGTGAGACCCCATCTCTACTAAAAAAATAGAAAGAAATTAGCTGGACAACCAAAAATATATAGAAAAAATTAGCTGGGCATGGTGGCGCATGCCTATAGTCCCAGCTACTTAGGAGGCTGAGGCAGGATGATTGCTTGAGCCCAGGAGTTTGAGGTTGCTGTGAGCTAGGCTGATAGGCTGAGGCCACGGCATTCTAGCCTGGGCAACAGAGCAAGACTCTGTCTCAAAAAAAAAAAAATATCCACAAAGATATTGACATTCATACACACAGTCAAGATACAGAACATTCTGCCACCAGAAGCATCACCTGTGTTACCCTTTTATAGCTGCCACTCACTTCCCCTCCTTCCACCTTTCCCCTACAGCCCCCTTCCCACCTCCTTCCTTAACCCTTGGCAACTGCTATTCTGTTATTCATTTCAAGAATTTTGTTATTTCAAAAAGTTATATAAATGGAATCATGCAGTATCTAAAGTTTTGGGATTGGCCTTTCATTCACTCAGCAAAATTTCCTAGAGATTCATCCAGGTTGTTGAGTGTGTAAATAGTTTGTTCCTTTTTATTTCAGACTGGTATTGCATGGTGTAGTTGTTCGACAGGTTGTTTAACCATCCACCTATTGAAGGATATCTAGGTTGTTACCAGTCTGGGGCTATTATGAATAAAGCTGCTATGAACATTCATGTACAGGTTTTTGTGTGAGTGTAAGTTTTCATTTCATTGGTCTAAATGCCCAGGAGGACAATCTCTGGGTTGTTTGGTAGTCACATGCTTAGTTTTTAAAGAAACTGCCAAATTATTTTCCGAAGTGGCTGTATCATCTTATATTCCTGCCAAGAATGTATAAGTCATTCAATTTCTCTGCCTCCTTGCCAGCACTTGGTATTGTCACAATTTTTAATTTTAGCTCTTCTAATGCTTGTGTAGTAACATATCATGGTGGCTTTAATTTGTATTTCCTTGATGACCAATGATGTTGAACACCTTTCCATATGTTCATTTGTCATTTGTGTGTCCCCTTTGGTGAAATATCTGTTCATGTCTTTTGGCTGTTTTCTAATTGGATTTTTTTAATGTTGAGTTTTAAGAATTCTTTAGATATTCTAGATAGTAGTCCTTTGTCAAATATGTGGTTTGCAAATATTTTCTCCCAGTTTTTAGCTTGTCTTTTCATTGGCTTACCAGGGTCTTTCAGAGAGCATACGTTTTTAATTTTGAAGAAGTCAAATTTATCAATTTTTTTCTTTTATGCTTGTGGTGTCCAATCTAAAAACTCTTTGCCTAGTCCTAGATCCCAAAAGTTTTCTTATATGCTTTTTCCTAAAAGTTTTACATTTTACATTGAAGTTTATAATCCATTTTGAGTTAATTTTGTAGAAGGTTTAGGCCTGGGTTCACTTTTTTGCCTGTGCCTATCCAATTGCTCCAGCCCCATTTACTGAAAAGGCAATACATTCTTCCTTCATTGAATTGCTTTTGTTCTTGCCAGTGAGCATATTTGTGTGGATCTATTTCTTGGTTCTTTATCTGTTCTGTTGATCTATGTATCTATCCCTTTGCCAATACCATGTAGTTTGGTAGCTGGATGATATATTTTGAAATTGACTAGACTGATTTATCCCACTTTATTCTTCTTTTCCAAAATTGTTTTACATATTCCAGCTCCTTTGCCTTTCCATAAACATTTCAGGATGATTCGCATTTACGAAATAATCTTGCTGAGATTTTGATAGGAATCGCATTACATCTGCATGTCAATTTGAAGAGAGTTGACATCTCTACTCTGTTGAGTCTTCCAATCCATGGCAGGTTTTAACATGGCAGGTTTCTCAATTTATTTAGATCTTCTTTGACTTCTCTCATCAGCAGCATTTTTGTAGTTTTCACCACACAAGTCCTGTACATGTTTTGTTACATTTGCACCTAAGAATTTCTCTTTTTGTAAGTGATATAAATTGCATTGTATTTTTAGTTTCAGTGTTCGTTGATAGTATACAGAAATACAATTGATTTTTGTATCCTTGTCTTGTATCTTGTGATCACACTTGACCCATATATTAGTTCGGTCGTTGTTTAGATTCCTTGGGATCTTTTACACAGTCATGTGCAAAAATGGACAGTTTTTTTTCTTCCTTTTTGATCTGCATCCCTTTTATTTCCTTCTATTGTACTGGCTAAAACTTCCAGTTTTATGTTGAGGGAGAGGGTGAGAGTGGACATCCTTGCTTTCTTCCTGATTTTAAGAGGAAAGCATTCAGTCTTTTACCTGTCAGCATACAAAATATAGAGAGATAAATCTCTAAGTAAAAAGGTTTTATTTGGGAATAATACACAGGAAGTAAGATTGTAATCTAGGACATACATACAGACCAGAGTGGCCTCTGGTATGTCTGGAGAACAAAGGAAAAGGTTAGAGTTTTATTGGGGAAAGGGGAGGTTTACCAAAGTTCGTTGCCACTGGCAGTTCTGGTGGGGAGTGTCAGTACTTGCCAGGCAGGACTTGTGATCTTGGAGTTACGGTGAGGCCCTTGCAGTTTGGACTGGCTTTATGAGACAGTGTGTCAGGCAAGTGTTCTTGTATAAGCAGCTAGCTGGCAGTCCTTGTGTGACTCGTGTAGTAAGCTGCAGTTGGGAAAACGTTTTTGTGATAGTTCCTGTTATCAGGCAAATCGTGCGTGAGAGGCCGCCCTCCGTGGCCTTCTCCAGCTGTTTTGCCACAGTTTGACACAAGTGACTCCATTTTGAATCTGACAACTGTCCACTCCATTGATTGTAATGTCAGTTAAGAGTTTTTTTAGATGCTTCTTTCAAGCTGAGGAAGTTACTGAGAGTTTTTTTATTTATCATGAATGAAGGTTTAATTTTGTCAAATACTTTTTCTGTATCAATTGATTATGATCATGTGATTTTTAATCTTTAATCTATTAATATGATGGATTACATGGATTGATTTTTCTAATACTGAACCAGCCTTGCCCACTGGAATAAACTCCACTTGGTTATGGTGTATAATTCTTTTTATATATTGCTGAATTCTATTTGCTAATATTTTGCTAAGGATTTTTGCATCTAGCTTCATTGAGATCTTGATCTGTAGTTTTCTTTTTGTGTACTGTCTGGTTTTGATATCGGGTTAATACTAGATTCACAAAATGAACATTCACAAAATGTTCTCCCTCCTCTTCTATTTTCTGGAAGAGATTGTACAAAACTGGTGTTAATTCTTCCTTAAACATTTGAGAGAATTCTCCTGTGAAACTCTCTGGGCCTGGAGATTTCTTTTTTGAGACTTTTTGAATTATGAATTCAATTTCCTTAATAGTTGTGGAGCTATTGAAATCATCGTATTGGGTGAGTTATGGTAATTGTGCTTTGCAGGGAATTGGTGCATTTCATCTAAGTTGTCAAATGAGACGTGCAGAGTTGTTGGTAGTATTCCTGCATTGCCATTTGATAGACATCAAATGCAAGGTCTTTAGTAGGAGCCCCTGTTTCTTTGTGTCTTCTCTTTTCTCTTTTTTATCAGTCTTGCTGACAAATAAGTTTGTCAATTTTTTTTGACCTTTCTAGAAGATCAATAGCCTTTTATTTTACTGATTTTCTGTATTTTTCTGATGGTTTTGATTGTATTGATTTCCAACTCTGCACTAGACCTCCTTTGACATCATCCCATAGTGAGGGGGACACCTCGTTACTGCTGGGTAGGGGGGCAGTCCAGGCCCACACGTGGTCCCCCTCAAGAGCAGCCTCATTACCACCTGCAGGAGGGACAAAAGCCAGGGCTCGGTCTTTGGCTTCCTCTGACACCACCTCAGTAGGGGTGTTGGGGCGCTTTGTTACAACCTCAGTGGAAGTCTGGACTACCCACTTGGCCTTTGTTGGCATAAGTCGGGGTGAACCACAGATGTTTTCAATGGTTTTGGCTGGAGTAGAGCAGTGATTGTCTTAAGTCTCCTATCTTGCTAGGTTGCTCCTTTCTTGTCTTTTGGCTGGAGAGAGCAGGCTTTTGTTGGAGTTTTTTTTTGTCTGTGCCCAAGGGCATATCTGGGTTGGTGGCTGTTTCATTCTATGTCTGGGCTATAGGAGACAAAAAAGAAAACCCAGGGAAATGTTGTTCCTTGGGTCCTGATGTGCCCAGCCTGTCCACCTTCTTCTCTACCTTTTAGTCTTCTTATGTTTGTTTTATATATAATGTCTTGGGTTTTTAGTTATATTAGCAGGAGGAATAGGAAAAAGTACATCTGCTCCTTCTTCCCAGATGAATGCCAGGAAAGGGATTTGCAAATACTTTTCATTTCATATAAGGATTAGTCATGGCACATGCAAAGCAACCAGATTATGCCTGGCATATCGCAGCACTGGATAAAATGATTGCTATTTGTCAATGATTCAAAGATTCTATGATTCTCAATTTGATTATTTTAAGTGTTGTCATGCTATAATGCTAAACTCTGAAATTCAGTAATTCTGCTTTTGGCATTTCCAGGTAGGGAACTTGACTTTTCTTCTGCCCCTCCTCCCCCCACCTTTTTAATCCTTGAGCCATCCTAGGGAAATCATTGATCCTGAGCAAGCGTTCTGTTGCCTTGTCTTGCAGAGAGCAGAGAGCATCGATCCGGTTCAAGACCACCCTTACGAACACGCTCATGGACGTCCTTCGCCACAGACCGGGATGGGTGGAAGTGAAGGAGTAAGACACCCCCAGCCCCCAACCTCATCGCTCCTTCCCCGTGTCTCACCTGTCCTTGTCTCCCTTCATTTTTCTCCATGTTTCCCTGGGTGGCCACTGGGACTTGTCCCAACGTGGCTGTGACATTTATTCAGCACCCATCATGTATCAGGTGCATTACTATTGCCACTCTGTGTTATTTAAACCTTACAGCCACCCAGTAAGCTATGATTATGTTCAGCGTTACGAAGCCTGTTGCTTGAGGTCACCCAACATTCAAGTGTCAGAGTGAGATTCAAGCCCATTTCAGTTCGTGTCCTGTGGTCTGCAGTAGGCACAAGGAATGTAGCCACACACACCTGCTGGCCTCAGTCCTCTTCCCTGGCTACTTGCTAGTTCTGTGACCTGGAACAAGTTGCTTGACCTGTAAGCCTACATTTCTTCCTTTATCCTGGGCTCTGGCGATACTGATTGAGACAAACCAGCGTACAATGCCCGGCACATAGTAGGTGCTGATATTAGTTAGGGCTAAGGCTTGAACGCATGTGACAAAGACCCAAAGTAAGAGAGGCTTCGCCAGGCTGGAAGTTATTTGTCCCACTGAAATCCATATGGAGGAAGATCAGAGATGGGAAGGGGCTCCACAGAAATCTAGGACCTGTCTGCTTCCATCTTTCCATTCTGCTGTCCCTTGAGCAAGACCCTTGTTCTCGTGGTCCAAGATGGAGTGCCAGCCCCCCTTCACATTGCAAACAGCAGTGGGAAGGAAGGAGGCAAGAAAAGGCACACCCTTCCCTTGAGGGACACAAGCCAGAAGTCCCTCATGTCTCACTGGCCTGAACTTGGCCATGTGGCCATACCTAGCTTCCGGGAATCTGGAAGATGTAGTCTTTATTGTGGAAATCAGGCAAATGTTGGGAATTACCTTACTGTAGAAGAAGGGGAGAACGGGAGGAGGGCTAGGACAACTGGCTGCCTTGCCATGGTGCTCAGTAAATGTTTGTCGCATAGCAATAGCTAAGCCTCCTGCACACTCTGTAACGCTTGACATGCATGATCTCTTTTAATCCTCCTAACAAATCTTCCAGGTAGGTGCTGTTATCCCCATTTCACTAATGAGAAAACCGAGCACAAGGTAGTGAAAAAATGCCATGTTTGAAATCAATCAGCTTGTAAGGGCTTGGCCTGGGGTTTGTACCTAGTCTGTCTGTCACAGAGTCCCAGGCTCATCTCCACCCCATTCCAGCAGCCTCCCAGTAAATTGCAGGCACAAATGAGCAAATGTGGCCCCTTGTGGAGGCTCACGCCTGTAATCCTAACACTCTGAGAGGCCAAGGCGGGAGAATCACTCAAGGTTGGGAGTTCAAAACCAGCCTGAGCAAGAGCAAGACCCTGTCTCTACTAAAAATAGAAAGAAATTAATTGGCCAACTAAAAATATATAGAAAAAAATCAGCCGGGCATTGTGGCGTGTGCCTGTAGTCCCAGCTACTGGGGAGGCTGAGGCAGGAGGATCGCTTGAACCCAGGAGTTTGAGGTTGCTGTGAGCTAGGCTGACGCCACGGCACTGTAGCCCGGGCAACAGAGTGAGACTCTGTCTCAAAAAACAAAACAAAACAAAACAAAAAAAACAAAAAAGAGCAAATGTTACAGATCATGCTGTCTAGCAGAGGAGGCAGACTTTAACTAAATCATCCCACAAAAAATTAGCAGTTAGCCGTCCATGGCAAGCGTGGCGCAGGAAATCCAAGAGAGCAGAATCCTCTCTGTAGGGCTTTGGGGGGACTATTACAAGAATGATAGTGATGTTGATGATGGCAATGATGGCAGCTACTGTGGACTCACCTTCTTGGTTCTCTCATGATCATGCTAATATCCGAATTGGGTTTCCTTCCCTGGATCCAGAGAACCTGATAAAATGAAAGATGGTGGGGGCGTTTGGGGGAAGTAAAGGAGAGTGAGGTGACTGGTGGGGGTGGGGGGTGAGAAAGGGCACTGTCCTCACCTGCTGTGTGACCTCAGGCCACTCCCTGCCCCTCCTCGGCCTCTGCTCAGTGGTAGGAGAAGAGTCTGAGGACTTGTCTGGAGCTGACAGTGTGGGAGCCCATGAAGCAGGATGCCCCGTGGCTGGTCCCAAGTTGTCTCAAGAGTCCTCCAGTCAGGAAGGGCCCAGAGGCCAGGACCTTTCTGCCTAACATTGCTCCATGAATCCAAGGCCTCATCCTTTATAACCTAACCTGGGGTCTGGTATTTTTAGACAGAATCTGGTCTCAGTTCAGACTGACAAGTCAGAGTGTAGAACAGATGTGGCTAGAGCTATCCTTTCCCTTGCTTCCCACCGAGAAAGCTGGTGTGAAGCCTGGAACTGCAGCAACCATATTGTGACCCTGAGGCAATGAGTGTGAGGACACCTTAAGGATGGCAGCATGGAGAGGTAGAAGGAACCTGGATCCCCACTTCTTAAGCAATTTGTTATCTTCCTGGGTGATTTAAGAGCAACTTGACTGTGGCAGTCATGAAGATGGTATGGAATGAATGAACTTTCAATTTCAGAACAGAATCCAAAATCCACACTGTGGTCCCAAGGCCCTGCTTGATTAGGCCCTACCCAACTCTTTAGTGTCACCTCTGACCTCTTTCCTTCCACTTACTGTTCTTCCTGTCCTTGAACAGGGTCCCAGCCTCAGGGCCCAGTCCCTGCTCCTCCCTCTGCTAGAGCCTCCTCCCCACTGCTCTCGCCACTGCTCTCGACGGGCTGCTCCTCCTCAGCTAAAGGTCACTTCTGCAGGGTGGCCTCCACCCAACATAGGTCCCTCAGCGGCCCTGCCTCATGGCTTCTACTGGATTACTCCACGGCACGTTTCACAATTCCAGAACATTTTCTTCATCCCAAGAAGAAACCTTGTACCCACTAGCAGTCATTCCCATTTCTCCCTTCAGCCCACGTCTGGGGCCCTGTCTCTATTTGCCTATTTTAGACACATCATATAAATAGAATTACACATTATTAATATATGGCCGTTTGCCTGTCTTCTTTCGCTTAATGTTTCAAGGCTTATTCATGTGGCAGCATGTATCAGTATTTTGTTCCTTTTCATAGCTGAATAACATTCCATTGTATGGGTGTACCCCATTTCATTTATCTATTTATTAGTTGATGCTCATTTAGGCTATTTGCACTGTTTGCACTGTTTGGCTGTTATAAATAATGCTGCCATGAATATTCATGTACAAGTTTTGAATGGATGTATGTTTCACTTCTCTCTACTATATACCTAGGAGTAGAATTGCTGGGTTATATAATGACTCCATATTTCGCTTTTTGAGGAATTGCTAGACTGTTTTCCAAAGTGGCTTCATCATTTTACATTCCCATCAGCAATGTATGAAGGTGCCAATTTTCCCACATACTCACCAACAGTCATTATTATTCATCTTTCTTATTATAGCCAGCCCAGTGGGTGTGGAATGGTATCTCATTGCTATTTCAATTTGCCTTTCTGTGATGGCTAATGATGTTTAGCACCCTTTCTTGTGCTCGTTGGCCATTCGTAAATCTTCTTTGGAGAAAGATCTATTCAAATCCTTTGCCTGTATTTTAATTCAGTTCTTTGCCTTTTTATTGTTGAATTATAAGAGTTCTATCTGATAAGGGTGTCTTTACATGTGATTTGCAAGTATTTTCATCCATTTTGTAGATTATCTTTCACTTTCTTGATAGTGCCTTTTGAGGCACAAAACTTTTTAATTTTGATGAAGTCCAGTTTATCTATTTTTGCTTTTTTTATTTGTGCTTAGTGTCCTATCTAAGAAACCATTATCTATCCAAGGTCACAAAGATTTATTATTATGTTTCTATCTATTTATTTCTATTCTATTTATTCTATTCTATTTCTATTCTATTTATTATTAAGTATCTATCCAAGGTCACAAAGATTTATTATGTTATGTTTTCTTCTAAAAGCTTTACAGTTTTAGCTTTTTACATTTAGGTCTTTGATTCAGTTTAATTTATATTTGTATATGGTGTGAGGTAGGGGTCCAACCTAAACATTTAAAATATACTTAATTTTAAACTTATTTTGAAATAATTTTAGACTTACAGAAAAGTTTCAAAAATAGTACACAGCTTCCTCTTTTATAATAGCAGCTTCACACAGCTTCCTCCGTTAGCAGCTTATGTAATCATAGTATATTTGTCAAAGCCAGGAAATTAACACTGATACATTACTATTAACTAAAATACAGACATCATTTCAATTTTTCCAATTTTTTTCCCACTAATATCCCTTTTCTGTTCCAAAATCCAATCCAGGGTCCCACACTGCATTTAGTTAACCTTTATTACCTCAAATATAATTCAGTTCCTTGGTCTTTACTTGTTTTTCATGCCCTTCATGCTTTTTTTTTTTTTGGAGACAAGGTCTTGCTCTGTTGCCCAGGCTGGAGTACAGTGGCATGATCATAGCTCACCACAGCCTCAAACTCCTGGGCTCCAGTGAAGTGATCCTCCTGCCTTAGCCTTCTGAGTAGCTGGGACTACAAGCATGTACCACCACGCCTGGCTAATTTTTTCTAATTTTTTGTAGAGACAGGATCTTGCTCTTACTCAGGCTGGTCTCGAACTCCTGACCTCAAGTGATCCTCCCGCCTCGGCCTCACAAAGTGCTAGGATTACAGGCGTGAGGCACCACACCTGGCCCTTGACACTTTTTTTTATTATTTCGGCATATTATGGGGGTACAGATTTTAAGGTTACAATAAATGCCCATTCCCCCCCTCTCCCCACAAGTCTGAGTCTCCAGCATGACCATCCCCCAGATGGTGCATATCTCACTCATTATATATGTATATACCTGCCCCCTCCCCCTTCCCAATACCCTATTACTATAGTACCTATGTGTCCGCTTAGGTGCTGCTCAGTTAATACCAGTTTGCTGGTGAGTATATGTGGTGCTTGTTTTTCCATTCTTGGGATACTTCACTTAGTAGTATGGGTTCCAGCTCTAACCAGGAAAATATAAGATGTGCTATATCACCGTTGTTTCTTAGAGCTGAATAGTACTCCATGGCATACATATACCACATTTTATTAATCCATTCTTGGATTGATGGGCACTTGGACTGTTTCCATAGCCTTGCAATTATGAATTGTGCTACTATAAACATTCGAGTGCAGGTGTTTTTTTTGAAGAGTGTCATTGGATCTTTTGGGTAGATGCCCAGCAATGGGATTGCTGGATCAAATTGTAGATTCACTTGTATCGCTTTAAGGTATCTCCATATTGCTTTCCACAGAGGTTGAACTAGTTTGCACTCCCACCAGCAGTGTAGGAGTGTTCCTCTCTCTCCGCATCCACGCCAGCATTTATTGTTTGGAGACTTTTTGATAAAGGCCATTCTCACTGGAGTTAAGTGATATCTCATTGTGGTTTTGATTTGCATTTCCCTGATGATTAGAGATGTTGAGCATTTTTTCATATGTTTGTTGGCCATTCTTCTGTCTTCTTTAGAAAAGTTTCTGTTCAAGTCCTTTGCCCACTTTTTAATAGGGTTATTTGATTTTTTCTTGCTGATTTTTGTGAGTTCTAAGTATATCCTAGTTATCAGCCCCTTATCAGATGGGTAGGATGCAAAAATTTTCTCCCATTCTTTAGGCTGTCTGTTTATTTTCATGCCTGTTTCTTTGGCTGTGCAGAAGCTTTTTAGTTTGATCATGTCCCATTTATTTATTTTTGTTGCTGCTGTGATTGCCTTTGGGGACTTCTTCCTAAACTCTTTGCCTAGGCCGATGTCTAGGAGAGTGTTTCCAACATTTTCCTCTAGAATTCTAATAGTTTCATACCTTAGGTTTAAGTCTGTTATCCAGCGTGAGTTGATTTTTGTGAGAGGTGAAAGGTGTGGGTCCTGCTTTAGCCTTCTACAAGTGGCTATCCAGTTTTCCCAGCACCATTTATTAAAAAGGGATTCTTTTCCCAAGCATATATTTTTGTCTGCTTTGTCAAAGACTAGATGGCTATATGAGGATGGTTTTATATCAGGATTCTCAGATCTGTTCCACTGGTCAGTATTCCTATTTTTGTGCCAATACCAGATTGATTTAATTACGATAGCTTTGTAGTATAGTTTGATATCTGGCATATTAATACCTCTTATTTTGTTTTTGTTGCCTAGAATTGCTTTTAATATTCGGGGTCTTCTTTGGTTCCATACAAAGCGTAAAATTATATTTTCTATATCTGTGAAAAATGCTGATGGGATTTTAATAGATATTGCATTGAATCTGTAGATCAGTTTGGGTAGTATAGACTACCACTTTTAAAGAGTACTATTTAGTTATTTTGTAGAATGCCCCTTGATTTGGGCCTTTCTGATGTTCCTCAGCATGATGTCATGCATTTTGGCAAGCCCACCACAGAAGTGATGCTGTGCACCATCAGTGCAGCTCTTAAATGAGTTCATGGTGCTGGCATGTCATCATGGGTGCTGTCACCTTGACTGAGCATCAGGTTAGGGTGGTGTGTGCCAAGTTTTTCCAATGTAAGTTAGCTTTCTTGTAATCAATAAGTATCTTGTAGACAGATACTCTGAGACTATGCAAATATGCTGTCCCCCAAAAACTTTCACAGAATAGTTTTAGCATTCTTTGAGGATTCTTGCCTAAAGCTATCATTATTACAATAATTGCAAAGCGGTGACTCTCTAACTCTCTCATTCCTTCTACATTTATTAGGTGGCATTTTTCTGTAAAGGAAAGTTCTCCTCCTGCCCCTTATTTATGTATTTATTTAGTATTTATTATTTAGTATCAGTTTGGTTCATTGAAGTCTACCATCTTGACTAGAAGTTTCCACTCTTCGATTTTCCCAATAGGGAAACTGAGGCCCAAAAGAGCGGGGGAGGTTACACAGGAGTCAGCGCCTGTGGCAGGACCAGAATTGGAGGTCCTGACTCCTGTTCTAGTGCTCCCAGCATGCATGACGGGCTCGTGCAGGCATCAGCGGAGGAGCAGAGGGCCGAGACACGGACACATCGGGTCAGGCACGGCCAGCCCGAGGTCTGTGGCTCCGAGGCCTCTGAGGGTCTCCAGAGGCCACAGCCAGTTCTCCAGCGAGTTCCGTCAGGCGTTGAAGCCGGTCCTCACAGCCCTGTGCCCGCGGCGTCAGCCGGGGGAGAGGTTCGGGGAAGAACCAGGCCCCAGGTTTTCCTGACTAACCTAAGAAGAAGTCGGGAAACCACTCGTTCCTGAGTCCATGGTCACTCCATCGCTGCGTGCGTCACCGGAACCACATGTGTGCCCGGTGTGTGCTGTTTACTTAGGATTCTCCTCAAGGTTGACTCACTTAAAGGAACTTTTATATCACAGTGATAATATCTGTTGTATTTTGTGTTTGTCTTGGGATTTTCGCTTTTTCCCAATCAACATTAAAATAGGGACATGGCCGTTAACCTTTCTTCAAGGTACAGCGAGGTCTGTGTGACTGGAATGCTGGGAGGTGTCGCCCACATGGCGCCCTTGCAGGAGTGGTGCGTGAGGCAGCATGCGCCAGCTCACAGCGCCTGTGGGTCCGGGATTCTGACAGGAGCCAGGGGCACTGGCCTGTCTCTGCCACATCGGGGCGTCAGCTGGGGAGAGTCTGTCTCTGGAGGTCACCTGACAGCAGGAGCTGTCGGGACATCCTTGCTCACAGTCGGCAGTTGATGCTGGCTGTCTGCGGGGACCTTGCTGGGGCGGACGACCGAAGAAGGTTCTCGTGGCGTCTCCACGTGGCCTCACAGGCCTGCTGCGTCTGGGATGAGAGATACAGCCAGGCATCTTCTGGAAGGCAGCCCACCACCACACCCTCCCCGCTTGGTTGTGTTCATTCATCACCTCTGGGGCAGCCGCCTCCTCGTTTCTCTCTGTTGCTGCCTCAAAACTCCTCAAGATATTTTTCACACACTCAGCACACTTGTCCATAATAGAATAAAATGGGGGATGAGGGGACAACCCAAACACCTCTTAATAGAAAAATGGATAAGGACATTGTGGTTTGTTCACCCCATGGAATGGAATAGGGCTGTTAAAATGACTGAATTAGACTCATATATATCAAGTGGTCAAATCTCCAAAATGAAAGGTTGGTAGAAAAAACCAAGTTGTGAAAGGAAGCAGATAGAAGTGATTCTAGCCACAGAGCTTGGACTCTCGAGCCCCATGGTCTGAGTTCGAATCCTGTTCTGCCACTTACTAGCTGTATGAACTTGGGTTCCTTAATCTCTATGTGCCTGCCTCAGTTTCCTCATCTGTAAAATGGGCATAATAACAGAACGTAACACTTAGGGTTGCTAAGAGGATCGATGCATTAATATTTGTAAAGTACTTAGAACAGTGCCTGGCACATGGTGAGCAATAATATTAGCAATTAGATGATTTAAAATATGCCAAACTATGCCACGTATAGATATGCACATACATATGTAGTAAGAACTATAAAGACATTGCATAGATGTGATCCGTACCGAACTCAGGCTGATGGTTTCCTTTGGGACAGGAGAGAAAGAGATAGAGTCAGACAGGGACATACAGGAGGCTTCAGTTATATCCATATTTTTTTAGTTAAAAATAATTGGAAGCAGTTATGATGGTATTTTATCTCCTTTCACTTCTTTTTCAAGCACCTCCTCCCTGCAGCCCAGCTCTAGTGCCCAGATTTGGTAGATGAGTGTGGTTTTCTGTCACTCCCCCTGGCGTGTCTGGGAAGGACGGGGCAGAGCAGGGCATGAGTCCTGATGGTGCTGTGTCCTCAGTGCGCAAGGCCAGCCTGCCTTAGAGCTCCGGGGACGGTTGAAGTCACCTTTTAGGCCTGCTATGAGGATTTAGTGAAAGGAGGGCTTTGTGACCTGGAAGGGGCTTGCACATGTCACCTAGCTCCACCGTGGGCTGAGGACAAGGACAGGTGAGGCTGGCTGGTTGGTGCCCTGTAGAGAGCGGTGGGCACTGTGGTCTGGATAGGGCATGTCCTGTCGAAAGGGGTGGCTGCTTCTCAGTCCTGCTGATAGGTGCCTGGGGACACTCAGGGCTCAGCCTGGCCAGATCAGTTTGAGTTTTTGTGGGAACATTTTCCTAGTTTTCACTCTGGCCTAAAAAGGCACATGTGGGCCAGTGGCAGCCCACGGCCACCCCCTCGAGACTCCTGATGGACACACTGCTGCATACCCTTCCTCTCGCCCCCTCAGCTGCCCTGCCCTGGGCCACAGACCTCCAGCAGTGCCGAGGTCCTCAGGTCATGACCTTTTCCCTCCCTCAGCGAAGGGGAGTGGGACTTCTACTGGTGTGACGTCAGCTGGCTCCGGGAGAACTTTGACCACACCTACATGGACGAGCACGTGCGGATCAGTCACTTCCGGAACCACTATGAGGTGAGTGGGCAGGTGGCGGGGTTGCGCTGAACTAGCCGGCTCAGATCACTGGGTGTGGCCATCACTGGGAGCTGGTTTGGGGGGTACAAGGATCAGAACAGAAGAGTGTAAGGGAATTGGGTGCACGCCAGGTGGGGAGCGTGTGGACCAGATTCGTGATGAGCTACATGGATGGAGGGTGTAGGATCCAAGCCCTGAGGACCAGCCTTTCTTGGGGTGGGGATTTGAGGTCACAGGATGGTTGGTGTTTCAGGATCAGAGATTTGAGGGGCAGGCTGAATTGGGGGTGGAAGGACCAAATGAGCAGAATGCTTGAGAGGTTATGGTGATTTTAGGGTGAAGGAAAGTTGAGAAGTTTGGGGTCTAGAGATGGGAGGGAGGTCTGAGGGGACTGGAGGAGCCAGCCATGGAGATGTTCAAAGGTTAGTGTATCGTAGTGGTTAAAAACATGAACACTGGACCTGTAATCCTAGCACTCTGGGAGGCCAAGACGGAAGGATTATTTGAGCTCAGGAGTTCCAGACCAGCCTGAACAAGAGTGAGACCTCGTCTCTACAAAAAATAGAAAAATTAGCCAGGCATGGTAGCACATGCCTGTAGTCCCAGCTGCCCGGGAGGCTGAGGCAGGAGGATCCCTTGAGTTTGAGGTTGCTGTGAACTCTGATGACACCACTGCACTCTAGCTGAGTGAACAGAGCAAGACCCTGTCTCAGAAACAAAAACAAAAACAAACAAAAAAACACACATGGACTTTGAAGTCATGGTCAGGCCCTGGTCAAATCCTGGCAGTGCTGAACAACTGTTGTGGCTCTGGCAACGCACTTAACCTTCCCAAGCCTTGGTTTTCCTGGCTGTGAAGTGCGGGTAATTACAGACTTAGCAGGCTCTCGAAGTTACTCGTAGTGTTATCCTGTGGGCAGAGGATGGAAGCTGCTGGGTAGGGGCTGGGAGGGGAGCAGGAGCCCACGGCCGGCCTTGTCCCTCCCGCTGCCCAGCTGACCCGCAAGAACTACATGGTGAAGAACCTGAAGCGGTTCCGGAAGCAGCTGGAGCGCGAGGCAGGAAAGGTGGAGGCAGCCAAGTGCGACTTCTTCCCCAAAACCTTCGAGATGCCCTGCGAGTACCACCTGTTTGTGGAGGAGTTTCGCAAATACCCAGGAATCACCTGGATCATGAAGCCTGTGAGTGCCCAGTGATGGTGGGGGGTTAGTGAGGGCAGCGGGAGGGAGGGCAGCGGGAGGGAGGGTGTCCTGGCCCCCGCTGGGGTCCTGATTGCCTGGGATTAGCTTCAGACATGCGTGCTCTCTGCCCTCCCCCAGGGCTGGCTTTAGCTCCTCTTCTCTGCAGTGTTGGACTGCTGGCACACAGTAGGAGCTCAATAAGTGTTTACTGAATGCCCAAGTGATCCCCAGGACCCCGGGAAGGGGCATCCAGAGCCTCTCTCCCTGACATGGAAGAAAACAATGGCCAAGCCAGGCCAAGCGCTTTTCCTGTGTTACCCCTGTCCTCGCTCTGACCCTCGGGGGCAGTGTCCCCAGGCCTGGTTTGGAGCTCGTTTGCTCAAGCATCCACAAATACTCACCTGGCACTGGGGAAACAGCCCCGGCAAGTCACATTTGGTCTCTGCGTCCTCAAGGGCAGACAATAAGCAAGCAGAGGACACGTGAGTGGTTATGGCAGTGCTGAGTGTCATTAGGAGAATAGTGTCAGTAGATGGAACAGCAGGAGGATCGATCCCCCTGCCAGGTGGCTTCTGAACAAGGGAGAGGTAGGGCTCTCAGGTTAAACCTCTGTTCACTTACTAGCTGTGTGACCTCAGGCAGATTACTTAACTTCTCTGTGTCCCACTTTCCCCATTGGCAAAGTGGGATCCCTGTAGTACCTATTGCATAGTGTTGTTATGTGATGAAATGAGTTAACAGAGGTAAAGTTCATAGCAGAAACTCAATAAGTGATAGTTTTTGTTATTCTCGTTATTCAATATAAATTGAGCCGTGACCTTAAGGATGCACAAGAGTGAGCTGGAAAAGGGTGGGTGTAGGGAAAGGTATTCTAGGCAGAGGGAAGTGCATATGCAAAGGCCTGGCATCAGGATGTACCCCTTTGGGGATCAAGAAACTGAGTGGAGCCGGGCGTGGTGGCTCACGCCTGTAATCCTAGCTCTCTGGGAGGCTGAGGCGGGCGGATCGCTTGAGGTCAGGAGTTCGAAACCAGCCTGAGCAAGAGCGAGACCCCGTCTCTACTATAAATAGAAAGAAATTCATTGGCCAACTAATATATATAGAAAAAATTAGCCGGGCATGGTGGCGCATGCCTGTAGTCCCAGCTACTTGGGAGTCTGAGGCAGCAGGATTGCTTGAGCCTAGGAGATTGAGGTTGCTGTGAGCTAGGCTGATGCTATGGCACTCACTCTAGCCTGGGCAACAAAGCGAGACTCTGGCTCAAAAAAAAAAAAAAAAAAAGAAAGAAAAGAAAAGAAACTGAGTGGAAGGCAAGAGTGACACAGAGCCTACCAGTCACTTAGCCCCTTCTCATGCCAGGGCTGGTCTCTCACCACAAAGCCAGGTGCCACCATGGCCTTGACTGACAGCAGCAAAGCCCCTTATGTTTTCCAGGGTTGGGAATGTGCCAGGCTCCAGGAAGGAATCTGGGGGGGAGGAGGAGCAGCCCCTCCTTGTGGAGCTGAAGACTGGGGCCAGCGCTGGCCGCTGCAGACTCAGCCAGCAGCACAGGTGCTTGGAGGCGGCACCAACCGGGAGACAAAAACAATGGGTGCTCCAAACAGGCACCTAGCCAGGATGCGCCCGGGCCTCCCGGGTTCCCTGAAGACTGGCGTGAGGCCCCAGTCTTCAGCTCCACAAGGAGGGGCTGCTCCCCCCCGCCCCAGATCCCTTCCTGGGGCCTGGCACATCCCTGAGCCTGGAAAACATAAGGGGGCTTTGCTGCTACCTGGTTCCCTTCCTGGCCCCTCCTGCCACCCCTGTGTCCGGGAAGGCGCAGGGAGGAGGCTCTAGCGGGAGCAGGAGGGATCAGGCAGATGAACACTGTGACCCACCAGGGCGGATTCCAGCTCCCAGCACTATCCTCTCAGACAAATGGTAATTTGTGCTAATTGGGAACAGCAATTGCATATTAAATTGATTTCTTTCCCAGCCCATGGCCTTTGTTAGCAGCAGACACAACGACAGCTATAATTAGGAGGCGGAATATTGGCTGTGTGTGCTCCTGTGTGTGCGCGTGTGTGTGCGTGTGTGTGTGTATGTGTGTGTGTGTATGTGTGTGTGTGTGTGTTCTCTCTACTGAATATTAAGGCATCCTGTCAGGGGTATGGACAGTGGGTGCTTCTCGTCACACTGGCCTGGGTTCTAAATCTGTGTCCACTTTTTTTTTGAGACAGAATCTTATTGTGTTGCCCTGGGTAGAGTTCACTGGTATCAGCCTAGCTCACAGCAACCTCAAACTCCTGGGCTGAGGCGATCCTCCTGCCTCAGCCTCCCGAGTAGCTGGGACTACAGGCATGCGCCACCATGCCTGGCTAATTTTTTCTATATATTTTTAGTTGTCCAGCTAATGTCTTTCTATTTTTTAGTAGAGATGGGGTCTCGCTCTTGCTCAGGCTGGTCTCAAACTCCTGAGCTCAAGCGATCCTCCCACCTTGGCCACCCAGAGTGCTAGGATTACAGGTGTGAGCCACCACGCTGACCTGTGTCCACCACTTCTGAGGTTTGATTCAACTCCTCTAAGTCCTTCTAAGTCCATTTCCTCATCTGCAAAATGGAATTCATGAGTGGATCTACCTTACAGGGTTGTGAGAGAATCCAGTGAAGTCATACATGTTAAATACACGAATTATGTAAGTGACATGAAGGGCTTGGTATTAGGTGCCCAATAATTGACCACTTTTATTGTTATTTCCAAGAAACCATGAAATGCCTCATCTTCTCCCTGCCCCTGGGGAAGCACCAGCTCAGTGTTTCTCAAACTTCAGTGTGCCCGCATCCACTGGGGACCTGGGTGAATGCAGAGCCCTACTCGGCAGCGCTGGGCGGGGCCCAAGAGTCCTGCTTTGTAACCAGCGCCCAGGCTGTGCCGACACGGCTGGCCACAGACACACTATGAGCATCGGTGCTGCAGAGCAGCAGCTCTCAAACTCAATGTGCACACAATCTCTCAAGTGCTTTTGAGAGCATCCCACCCCCAGAGTGTCCGATTCAGCAGCCCTGGGTCGGGGTGTGAGAATCTGTGGTTCTAGCAAGTTCCTGGGTGTATCAGCCAGGGCTCCCCAGACAAATGGGAGTTTCAGGATATGTGTGTGTGTGAGTGTGTGTGTGTGAGAGAGAGAGTGTGTGTGTTTGTGTGAGTGTGTGTTAGGAACTGGTTTACGCACTATTGTGGAGGCCAGCAGATCTGAGATCTGAGGGCCAGCCGGCAGGAAACCCAGGAAGGATTTCTACGTTCCAGCCTTGAGGCAAAATCGCTTCTTTTTCAGGAAACCTCAGTTTTTGCTCTTAAGCATCAGCTCATTGGGTGGGCCCACACATGTGATCAAGGGTGACAGCCTTGACTTACAGTTCCTGATGGTAGATGTCAATCACGTCTACAAAATACCTTCAGAGCAACATCTAGACCAGTGTTTGGCCAAACAACCGGGTACTATAGCCTAGCAGAGTTGACACGTAAAATTAACCATGCCGCTGGGTTATGAGGGGCTACTGGCCTGGTGCCACACTTTGAGAACCACTGGGTTTAAGTATTAGTTCTGGGACCCTATTTGGATTCCTCTGGGGAAGAAGTGTTAAAAACAGAACAATGTCACGCCTGTAATCCTAGCACTCTGGGAGGCCAAGGCGGGTGGACAGCTCAAGGTCAGGAGTTCAAAACCAGCCTGAGCAAGAGCGAGACCCCGTCTCTACTAAAAATAGAAAGAAATTAATTGGCCAACTAAAAATATGTAGAAAAAATTAGTCAGGCATGGTGGTGCATGCCTGTAGTCCCAGCTACTCGGGAGGCTGAGGCAGGAGGATCGCTTGAGCCCAGGAGTGTGAGGTTGCTGTGAGCTAGGCTGACGCCACAGCACTCTAGCCCAGGCAACACAGTGAAACTCTGTCTCAAAACCAGACCAAACCAAACCAAAACAGAACAATGCCCTAGGTTTGGAAAATAGAAGAAAAAACATCCCCCAAATCTCTCCACTCTCCCCGCAAGGCCTGTCTTTGTGACTCGGTTGGTCCTGGTCCACCCACAGTCAAAAGTCTGCTCATAGTTGCTGTGACTGGGCCAGTCGCACAGCAGCCCTTGGGTGCCTGCTGAGCCTTCATCTTCCTCTTTGGTGGTGATAGAGCAGCCCAGAGAGGGGTCGAGTGGGCTGAGAAGGCAGCAGGCAGTGTCATTCTCTTTATGCCTCCCTGTGGGGACCGTCTTCCCATGAGGCCTGAGCTGGGGGTGCTTTGTTTGGCTCTTGGGGAATGTAAGAACAGGCCCTGGGGTCTGGCCATTAAAAGCCGAGTGTAGTGTAAAAATCGCATCACTCCAGACTTTTTCTCCGGGTGGGCGTCCTTCCCTACCAGCGGCTCAGGGCTGCTGGGTTGGTGGGAGGTGGGCAGGACAAAGGTAACAGGGCCACTCTGGCTCCTCAGCCTGCCTCGAGGTGCTGGGAGGCAGGTGCGTGGCTGTCAGGGACCAGGCCTGTCCCTCAGTCCCTCTCTGTGTCCCCCTATCTGCCCAGGGATGAGGCCTGTCTTCTGCTCTCCATGTGTCCACCAAGCTGGTTTCTCTGGAATCTTCTAAGAGTCAGGAAGCTTTGGTTGGTAAATAATAGAAAACCCAAATAAAAGTAGCTTAGACAAGAGGACAGGGCTTCTGCACTGTTTTTATGCCATGGGCCTCTTTGGCATTGGTGAAATGTACTGACCCTGTCACAGAATAGTAGGGTTTTTAAAAGCCACTTTAAGTATAGTTGGCATACAAAAAGCTGCACATACACTTAATGAGTTGGAGGTAAGTATGTACCTATGAAAGAACAGTGGTTTTAAAAGCATAAGATAAAGTACATTTAATTATAAAAGAAAGCAACTATATTAAAAATCAGTTATCAAACTGCCTTAGTCTAGGTTCTCCAAGACACAGATGCCAAGACAAAATTAAACATGCCAGAGTTTGGCCAGTGAGAAAAACAGGAGAGGGAGGCACATGAGGCTAGGAGAGCTGTCAGATCTCAAGGGAAGGAAAGAAGGAAGGAAGGAAGGAAGGAAGGAAGGAAGGAAGGAAGGAAGGAAGGAAGGAAGGAAGGGAGGGAGGGAGGGAGGGAGGGAGGGAGGGAGGGAGGGAGGGGAGGGAGGAAGCCCCTGCTACTGAGCAGTGTATGGAAATTTCAGCAAAGCCGCTGGGATGCCTCAAGCCAGAGCAGGCTGTCCCCCGTCTCTCAGGAATGGGCCAGTCTTCATATCCTTGTAGGGCTTGGTCATTGTCTGGGAGCAGCCTCAGCAAGGAGGCCTGGCAAGCACAGCTGGACCTCAGCTAGAAGCAGCTGGCACTCTCGGTCAATTACTCCCCTGCAGTTAGAGGCCTGCGAGGTGCATTCTCATGGCCACAACACAAGTTATTAAAAAATTCTTTGTGCTATAGTAATGTATGTGCTTTTCATTAACAATTAAAGAGAGTCTAACAGCGGGCCTCATAGTACCATCGTTTCAAAGTCAGAAGGAGCATAACAATATTTTGGGAAATCTGCAACAATTGTAATGAGGTATAAAAATAACTGTGATTTCTTTTGATGGCAAAGTCACCGGCATGGCTAATACTCCTCTGACTTGTTGCCTGCATTCATAATAGAAGGAAATGTGAAAATCTGGTTAAGGGTTAGTGAAAATAAAGATGAAATTGTTTTTCTCATTTAAGCTACAGACCCCAGGGAGTTTCTTTTAATGAAGAAAGGCTGACTCCAGGGATGGTTTATTAGGAGGCCCCGCAACACCATGAATTTCCAGCAGGCTGGCCATGCCTCTTGATCACAACACAGCTGCCATAGCTCCAGCTTAACCTCACACTTCCACTTGCCTTGGGAATAAAGGAATGCCCTGGACTTGTGTCCCTTATGAAGAAGACACAAACTTTCCCCAGAATTCCCCTGGCATCCTTCTGGCCCATGCCTGAACCAATCACATGGGGGCACTGTGAGGGTTCAGACCTCCCCAGAGGGCAGGACAGCGGGAAGAGCTGATCCAAATGGGTTCTGTTGGCAGGGGAGACAAGGGAGTGGCTGCATCCAACACCCGATGAATGCCACGTGAGGAATGTGGCTCCCAGCGACAAGACAGGGGTGACAAGGGGACCAGGACTGTGGGTGGCCACAGCTGGTACAAAATCAAAGTTATGGTTCACTCCATATATCCATCCAAATATTATTTTCCAATCAAAATTTTATCTTTTTATGAAAGGGATAATATAAAAATATTTTCCTCCCAACTTATCAAGTAAGATAGCTACTCCAGGAGGTAGCGCCATGTTTATCGTGTGATTTTGTATCCTCCCCTGCCACCCCTGCCAGCACTTTGCAAGAGGTACATGAGCCCCAAGTTTGTGTAGCATAGATTCAGCTGTCTCAGATTTGTCACCTGCTGGCTGGGTGACCACGGGCAACGTGCTTGGCCTCTCTGTTCATTGGTTTCCTCAGCTGCAAAATGGGGATACTATTAATGCCTATGTTATGGGTTTTTTTTTAAGCTTTAATGAGGTAATGTGCATAAATCATCATGCCTGGCACAGAGTAAACATCTGATAAGTATTAGCTGCTGGTGTTGTCATTGTTAGGAACCATTTTCCCAAAGTTAGTATTCCGGTTGTGTATTGCAGAGTAACAAACCACGCCAAAACGTAGTGACTTGAAACAACAATAATCCTATTTGGCTCCTGAGCCTCCGGTTTGGGCAGCGCTTGGCAGGGAAGGCTCTGCCCTGCCCCGGCACCGCTGGGGCCGCTGCGCTGCGGCTGGAGGAGCGAGTCCACGCTGGCTCGCTCGCTCGGCTGGCAAGTGGGTGCTGGCTGTCAGCTGGGCGCTCGGCCAGGGTCGAGGGCGAGGAGTCTCAGTCGCCCTCCGGGTGGGCCTCCCCCTGTGACCTGGACTTCCTACCTGTATGGCTGCTGGGTTCCAGCGGCGACCAGCCTCAAAGAGAGAGCCGGGCGGAAGCTGCACCGCCTTTTATGATTTGGCATTGGACTTCACAGTTCGTTGACACAGTCCTAACGCCTGTCCCAGATTCAAGGGGAGGGGACATTGACTTTACTTACTGATGGGGTTCTGGGGAACATATGGGCTGGAAATATCGTTGTCATTGTTTTCGAAACTGCCATCTGCTGGGGCTAGGTGGTGGGTGATCTCCAGTCTTCACAACCCTGATGTGTCATCACGTAAGAAGATTACCTTTCATTCAAAGCCGTTTCATTCTCTCACATAACAAGAAGCTGGAGGCAGGCAACTCCAGGTTTGGGGACGTGCTCAATAGAGCCATCGAAGGCCCAGGCTCCTTCCTTTTGTCCACTCTGTATCCTCAGGGTGTTGGCATTTGTCATGATATTTGTCACTTCATGAACGTGAGATGGCTGCTGTCATTGTAAGCATCACCTCTGCAGACTGAGTGTTCAAAGAAAGATGGAAAGGGGCCAAGCATCATTCCTCTCTCCCCAGCTCTCTGTCCTGCCCTCGATCCCTCTCTAATATTTTTAACAAGGAGGAAAATCTTTCCCAGGGTCTCCAAGCAGATTTGTCCTTAGTTCTCATTGGCCAAAACCAGTCACATGGTTTCCCCCAGCTGCAAGGGAAACTGGGAAAACCAGTATCTGTCCTTTCCAGTGTCTATCATGAGAGGTGGCTTTACCAGCAGGGAGAGAAAGGAAGGGGTGTGGCTACGGGGAAGGCGACCACAGGGGTTGGGTGGGGGTTCTTACATTGAAAGGTATGAACCTAAAAAACACTTTTTAATGGAAGTTTAGTAAAACACAGAGAAGTGCCCAAGTTATAGGGATACAGAATTTTCCCAGAGTGACACACTCAAGTAGCCAGCACCCAGGTCATAAAAGGGGGCGTCTCCAAACCCCTAGCGGCCCTGCTCACAACCCTCCAAGTCACTAACAGCAGAGATTTGTTTTGTCTGCTTTTGTACTTTATATCATTGGAATTGTGTAGTATGACCACAATGTGTCTGGTTTCTCCCCCTCCACATTAAGTTTATGCAATTCATGCTACAGATGTGGGTAATTATAAATTGTTAATTGTCACTTCTGTATCCTATTCCATTCAGTGAATATTCATCCATCTGAGAGTTTCAAGGTTGGAGCTTTTATGAATAGTGTTGCCATGGGTGTCTCTGTTCATGTTTTTGGGTGCACATGTGCAGACATTTCTGTTGTGCAGGTAGCTAGGAGAGGAATTGCTGGGACTTAGGATAGGGGGAACCTATGTTTAGCTTTCATGGATGCCACCAGTTCCCAAACAATGTGCACTCCCCCCAGCAGTGTGCGAGAGTTCCAGTCTCTCCACGTCCTCACCAGCACTTGGTATTGTCTGTCTTTAATTTTAATCATTCTCAGAGAGTGTGTAGTGGTATCATATTGTGATTTCCATTAGCATCTCCCTGGTATTCGTGAAGTTGAGTGCCTGTTTCTATGTTAACATTGATAATCTTTCATGAAATGCCTGTTCAAGTCTTTCGCAAGACTTCGAACTGTTGGCAGCTTTTGATCACACTGATTAATTGCTCTCCAAAATTGCTGTGTGCATTCGGACACCTCTGAGCCACCACCAGTGCTCCATAGTCTTTTGGGCACTCACAACCCTGAACCAGGGTGCACAGCATGGCAGGCAGAGCAGGGGCCCCTCATGCAATGGACAACCTGTGCAGCCACCCCTGACAGCTCTGCCTGCCCGGACATTGTACTGAGAGAGAGCCTCAGGTGGGCCAGGTGGGCCAAGCTCAGGGAACAGGAGGAAATCAGAGTTTGCTCTTGCCAGGTGCATTTATTCTGGAGGAAAGATGACTCGGGAGGACCTGCTTGGTGGCTGCAGATAAGTAGAGGGCTGTTCTGGTGCCCAGGAATCAGATTTGCTCTAGGAGGCCTTATAAGCCAGAGGTGGACTGGCGGATTTTAGCTCAGCACAGGTGAGTCTGTTAAAGTTCCATGAGGTCTGTGTTATTGCTATAGCATAATGCCCAGCACACCGTAGCAGCTGATATATGCCTTTTGGATGACAGCTTAACAAAGCTATCCTGCAACAAAAAGGGCCCTGTTGGAGGTTTGGGGGTGGGGAAAGGGTAGTGAGCTCCCAGGCACTGTGGGTGTGCAAGGCCAGGGAGGTGACCATTGTAGAAGGACCACTGGAGATCATTACTCAAAGGAGGGAGGAATGCCTTTGGTGAGGACCACTATGCATGATTAAAGATTCTCCCAGCCCCTAGACTCTGTGAAGCCATGAATTATCCATGCTGGGGTTCAGTAAAGGCAGACGGATTTCAGTATTAGCCGAAGCAAACCCTAATTAGGAAGGCAAATTGATTTCCAAAAAAAGAATCGGATGATATGTTCCCAGGACTGTTAGAAATGGTTTTTTAATTGTCTGTTCTTTTGCATTATTCATGCAAATGTATGTCTTTGTGAGCTAAGTCAATCTCCCTTTCCTGCCGCCTTCCCTTTCTCCCTCTGCCATGTTAGCGCCTTCCCTGGTCCAGCCCCTGCAGGACTGAGCTGGGCCATTCATCTGGGGAGAGCTGGGTGCTCATGGGGGAGATGAGACAGAGACATGCTGGGTATGGTGCCCAGGCACAGGGCCCAGCAAAGAGACACACAGAGCTGACAGCTGGCCTTTCTGCACCCACGCCCACCCCAGGTAGCCCGGTCGCAGGGGAAGGGCATCTTCCTCTTCCGGAGGCTGAAGGACATCATGGACTGGAGGAAGGTGAGCCTGCCTCTTCCCCTTGCTCCCCAAACCCTCGGCTGCCCTTGCCAGCAGGAGGGCCACTCCTTCCTTCCCTCCAACCTCAGGGGGATGGCAGGGAAGCTCTGCACACAGGCCTGCCCATTGGAGCAGGGGCAGGGGGGTGTCTCTGCAGCCAGATTGTCCGGGTTCAAATCCTGACCTTGCCACTCAATAGGTGGGTGACCTTGGGCAGTTACTTCACCTCTCAGCATCCCAGTAAATGGGAACAGTAATAGCACCTGCTGAGGATGCAATGAGCTCATAAGCATAAAACCCCTGAGAACAGTGCCTGGCACTTAGTAAGTGCTCAATGCACATTTCTTTTTCTGGGCCTCCTGCTCACCTGGCTGGAGAGAGTTTGTCGGACTCTCCTTCCGGGTCCTGGACTGAGCCTCAGGGGCAGCTCCCTTGCTCCCCCTGGCCCCATCCTTGTCCCAAGACACTGTGCAGTAGAAATCCTTGTTCAAATCCTGCCTCTGCCACTCAGCAGCTGTGCGGTCTGGGGAAATTGCAGATGCCCCTGAACCTCAGTGGTGCAGGGTGGGTGGCAGGAGCAGGATGGCCAGCACCCTGCTCAGTGTCTTTACTCCTCCTGCGGAACTGTCAGGGCACTGCAGGGAAGAAGCTCACCAGCCTGGAGGCCCAGCCCGCCCGGAGCGCTATCAATCCCTCCGGCAGCCACGTGAGTGGAGGTGGGGCTGGGCTGGGGTCCCAGGAAGCGAAGGAAGGCCTGGCTGCCTCCGTCTTAACGCAGCCAAGGGAGGTAGTGAGGTGGGTGGAGAAAATCTGCCCTGACAGCCAGAAGCCCTGAGTGCCAGCGCTCCCTGCCACGAGGCTGTTACATGACCCCATCAAGTGCGTGACCCTTGTCTTTTGGTGGAAGGGACGATGGGTGGGCAAGGACTCTGCAGCCTGTGAGGTGCTGTGCACATGCATAGGAGCATTGCCGTCTTCCTGAGCTGGGCTGGCGGGGAGAGAGGAGAGCTATGTCCTGGGGGGCTGTGGGGGGCCTACGCGGCACTGTGCTTAGAACTTTCTACAGTGATGGGAGTGGTATATGTCTGTGCTCTCCCACACAGTGACCACTGGCCACATGCTGACACTGAGTGGCTTGTATGGCCACACCATGTGGCTTGTATGATCAAGGACTGGATTTTTAATTTCATTTCCTTTTTAAAAATGTTAGTAAAATATGCATAACATGAAATGTGCCATTTTTAAGTGTGTGGTTCTATAGCACTAAGTGCATTCATATTGTGCAACTATCACCACCCTCCATTTCCAGAACTTTTTTGTCTTTCCAAACTGAAACTGTGGTCCCATTAAACACCAACTCCCCCTTCTCCCCCAGCCCTTGGTAACCCCCATGTACTTTCTGTCTCTATGCATTTGACTATTCTAGGAACCTCACCTAAGTGGACTCATATGCTATTTGTCCTTTTGTGTCTGGCTCATTTCACTGAGCATAACATCTTCAAGTGTCATCCCCGTTGCAACATGTAATTTCATTGACTTTTAATTGGTTAAATGCAAATGTAAGCAGCCACATGTGGCCAGTGGATGCCCTATTGGGCAGCACAGGTCTAGAGGTTAAATGCTCAGGCTCTGGGCCCAAACTGTGTGAGTCCATGGCCCAGCTGCACCACTGAATGCCTGTGTGACATTGAGCAAGTTACTCTCCCTCTCTGTGCTTCAGTTTCTCATCCATAAAATGGGAATAATGACCTGATAGGATTGATTTAAGGATCCAGTGAATTATCCCAAGTAGAGTGCCTAGCATAATGCCTCGTACACAGGAGGTACTCAATAAATGCTCAATTTTGTTATTATTATTACAACTAGGACACAAGGAGCTCTGATGACCAGAAAGATGATATTCCTGTGGAGAACTACGTGGCTCAGCGTTACATCGAAAATCCCTACCTGATAGGAGGTGAGACGGCTGTCTCTGCTCCCCCGCTCAGTGGTCCTCAGTCAGTCACCAAGCTTGGCCGGGCCAAGGGCTGCCAAGGGCCCAGCCTGACACCAGGCATGAGGGGTGCAAGGACAGACCTGCGTGCTCCCAGCTCCTGGCCATTGCCATGCAGTTCCCTCTGGCTGGCAGGCCCTTCCCGCTCCCTTCTTGGTTCAGGAAAACTCTCCTCCTTCTTCAAGATCCAACTCATTCTTTCATGCATTTATGCAACAAATATTTATAAAGGGCCTGCTCGGTGCCAGCCGCTGTCCTGAGTGCTGGCTGCCCACCGTGCTCTCGTGGAGCTTATACCGGATGAGCAGGCTGCAGGGAACCAGAAAACAAATACATAAAACAATCCCACGCAGTGGGTGCTATGGAGTAGATCAAGCAGGGTGACAGGCAGAGAATGGTGGGACCACGGAGGGCCTGTCTGAGCAGGTGACATGTGAGCTGAGACCCAGAGGACAACCAGGAGTCACTGTGAGCAGATTTGCAAAGGCCCCGAGGTGGAACCGAGCCTCCTCCTCGAAGCCTTGGCAGGTCCCTCCAGGCCCACCCTGCTTCTGCGGTTCCCACATGGGGCCAGGCAGGTGGGAGCAGGGGGTGACTCCGGGGGTCTGGTCCGAGGCGGGCAGGTGCTCCAAGGTGCATCACTGCAGTGGCGTTAATGCCAGTTGCCTTCTTTCTCCTCCTCGGGCAGTGACCTTCCTCAGGGGGTAGCACCTGGGTCTCTTCGCCTCTCTCCTCCCGCCTAGTGACCCCATCCTGTCTGTGGCTAAAATACCACTCAGATACCGGGGACTCCCAGTCGAGACCTTGCCCCTGAACCCCAGATCATGATATCTGGCAGCCTGTGACATCCTTATTGGGCATCTGACAGCAACTCAAAACCAGAGTACCCCAAATCCTGCCTCCCATGAGGGACACAGCCCTTCCGCCACTGGCTGCCAAGCCAGGGCCAGGAGCCGTTCTGGGAGCGTCCCTCTCTTCCCCTCCCACCTCTGTTCCTCATCGAGCTGCTGCTCAGCATGCGAATCTGTCTGGTCACCCCTCTCACCTCTATCCTGGTCCTGCCCACCGTCCTCTGCCTCCTGGACAGCCACGCCACCTCCTCCCTGGTGCCTGCCACTGCTCTGTCCCCTCGGCTCCCCTCCAGCACAGCAGCCAGAGCGATCAGGTCCCTCCAGTGGCTCCCAGAGTTTGTAGGACAAAACCCAAAGGCTGCAATGCCCTGGTGCCTGCCAGCCTTGCTGACCTCATCTCCTTCCATTCGGCCCTCTGTCCAACCTTGTTGCCCCCTCGGGCCTCTGTTCCTTGGGCCGAAGGCCCCCCCGACTCTGGGCCAGGCAGGCCCCTTCTCACCCCGCAGGTCACTGCTTCACATGGGCCTTCCTTGACCACCAAGGCTCCAGCCTCTCCCCATGTTGACCCTCCCTGTCCCCCATCCACTGCCGTATCCCCAAAACCTAGCACAGTGCCAGACACAAATCAACATCTGTTACACGAATTAATTCTTTCCCTGCCTGACAGGCCGCAAGTTTGACCTGCGTGTGTATGTGCTGGTGACGTCGGTGAGAAACTAAGGCAGGGGTCCTCCTCCAGGGGGGTTGAGGGGTGGCCGGACTAGGGGTGGGCGGAAGAGGCCGTTCAGGGGGCACCTTGTGTGAGCTTGTCTGGTCTTATCTGTGCCTGGGAGAGCCGCAGGCGACATCTGGGAACAGGATGGGGGTGGGCAGGTGGACCCAAGTTCTAGCATCTTAGATGCCCCAGCATCTAGATCTGCCCCCTATCTGTCCTTTATTCATTCAGCCATCCATGGTAGACACAGCAAACATTTATTAAGCACCTACTAAGTACAAGGCCCTGGTACTTAGCAGGTTTTATCTCATCCAGTCCTCCTAATAATCCAGTGAGGTAGGTTCTATTATCTTCATTTTACAGATGAGAGAACAGAAACAGAGGTTGTGTGACTTGGCCAAGGTCACACAGCCAGTGAGTGGCAGAACTGGGATTCAAACCCAGGCCTCCTGGCCTCAAGCGCCCACTCTGTTGGCCACTTGCTCTACTCTCTCCATTCATTTGTTCACTCATTCAGCAGATGTTTAAACCTTCGTGGTGTGCTCCTTTGTGCTGGGCACAAGGATAAAGGGATGTCCGAGACAGGCTCAGCCCTGTCCTCCTGGACCTCACCGTGTGGTGGGAGCACGGACACACCCTGAGCAGGGCCGCGACACACGTGGTGGTGGAGCACAGAAGAGGCCCATTCATTTTGTTCCCTCTGGATCCCTGTCCCGGGGGAGGAGCGGGTAGACTCCAGGGAAGCTGATGTTGGAGCAGAGGCTTGAAGGCTGATTTGGGAAAGAAGGAGAGGCGCTCCAGGTGGAGGGAACGGCAGGTGCAGGACCTGGACAGTGTGGGAGTGCCTTGATGTATTCCCCTCCCCTTCTCTCTCTCTCTGTCCCCACCTCTGTCCGCCTCAGTACACCCCACTGCGGGCCTGGCTCTACCGGGATGGCTTCGCCCGATTCTCCAACACGCGCTTCACGCTGAGCAGCATCGATGACCAGTGTATCCTGGGATCTGCCTACCCCCAGCCCCACGCACCCGCCCTTTCCGTCCTGGGGCCAATCCCGAACAACCTTCTCCATGCACAGATGTCTGCCGGGTGCCTGTTGTGGTCTGGGCACGGGAGACACAGCAGTGAGGGACACAGGACTGGTCCCTTCCCTGCGGGAGCTTTCGGTCTTGTGGGGGAGATCCCAGGGGAGTAGCCCCGCTCTGCTCAGAGCCGCTCACCCCAACCTGCTTTGCCAGGTGATGGTTTTGGTGGTGGGACTGACATCCACACTTACGTATATTCGTAGGATCTGACAGTTTTAGCCCCTTTGAAGAATGTTCCCATCATTTTATGTGCCTTTATCTTCAGTGCCTAGTCATTGGCTCACTCATTCATTCAAATATAATGCTATTTTCACCCATCCAATTGGCAGGGACCAAAACTTTGATGATAACACACTGCCTTGGCAAGGCTGGGGGGTACATATGTTGCTGGCGGGAGTGTAAATTGGTACAACCCCTTCTAGGACAACCTGGCAACTAGCTATCAAAAGACAATAGCACACACCCTCTGCCCTAGCACTTCCGCTCTGGGAATTGAGCTGACAGGTGCACCCGCCATGCAGGGGAAGACAGGCTTAGAGGTTATTCGCTGCGCAGCCTCGTTTGTGAGAGTGAAAATAGGAAACAATGGGACAAATGGCTCATTCATACAATGGAATACCATGTGGTTAGAAAGGAATGGTGAAAGTGCTTCACGTACTGATATGAGATCATCTACAACATGTATAGTTAATCGGGGGAAAACAAAGTATGTATAGAACAGTGTAAAAAAAAAGTATGTTCTCATTCACGTTAAAAATTATATCTTGGCCAGGCGTGGTGGCTCACGCCTGTAATCCTAGCACTCTGGGAGGCCGAGGCGGGAGGATCGTTCGAGGTCAGGAGTTTGGGATCAGCATGAGCAAGAGCAAGATCCTGTTTCTACTAAAAATAGAAAGAAATCAGCCAGACAACTAAAAATATATAGAAAAAATTAGCCAGGCATGGTGGTGCATGCCTGTAGTCCCAGCTACTCGGGAGGCTGAGGCAGGAGGATCGCTTGAGTTGAGGTTGTTGGAAGCTAGGCTGATGCCATGGCTCTCTAGGCCTGGGCAACATGATGAGCGTTCAAAAAAAATCTCTTATATGTTGCTTATCTGTACATAGAATCTCTGAGACAAAAACTGGACAGAACTTGGTCTTTGGAAAGAGGCACTGGGTGGGTAGGGACAGGGCAAATGGGAGGTATTTCATCATTTGTGCTTTTAACTTTTGAGTCGATGTGAGTAGGGTATCTGTCAAAATAAAACATTCAGAAAAAGGTTTTAAAAGATGTTATGGCCTGAGCATCAGAAGAAAAGGGGCAGAGGCCAAATCGTCAGGACTTTACCTCGTGTGTGGGAAAGATGGAAAGAGCAACACAATGTTTCAGCCAGTTCGCATCTCGATTTGCCTTCATTTCACCATTCAATTAAGTAACATCGCCCAGGGTAATGCTTTAATTGCATTGCTGCAGCCTGAGATGGCGATTCGCCCTTCTGAGTATTTTTTTGCAATGTTTGTGCTATTTCGCCAACTCAGCATCTCCAAGTATATTTTATTTTAATCTTGTAAATTCTAATAAGCAATGTATCTTGCGCAAAGTCATCAACATTTAGTTGGAGTTATTCGCTACTTTGTCTTTTTTTAATAAATTAGAATAAATACATGTGAAGGCGAGAACAGTGGCTGGCCCAGAGTGACCTTGGAAATGTTAGTGATTCTCCCAGCTCCAATTACAAATTGTTTGGCGCATCTGCTGAGCGTCGTGTGGGAATTATTAAACAAACCAAGCCTCTCCCTGGGTAGTTTCTATTAATGGGTTTTGTGTTTTCACAAGTGAGTGAATACATAAGCATTTTCAAACACGTTGCCTATTTATTGTTTTAATTTTTTAAATCTTGAAATATTAAATAGAAATAATTTCTTATTTTTATCATAGAAAAATGCAGGAAAGCCTAAAAACCCGTGCATCCACCATCCCAGATTTAACAGATAATATTGACCCTAATTTCGCTTCAGATAATCTACATACCAAGTTTACAATTATATTTTCCTTCAACCTGACTTTGTGTATATAAACTTATGAATACTATAAGCTTAAACCATAATTACTCCAAATATATACATAAATAAATAGGGTACTATAGATACATACCCACAAAATATAAAAAAATATTCACTGAGGCCGGGCGCTGTGGCTCAGAGCCCGTAATCCTAAGCTCTTGGGAGGCCAGGGGCGGAATTGCTCAAAGGTCAGGATTTCAACAAACCAGCCTGGAGGCAAGGCGGAGACCCCGTCTCTAACTATAAAATAGAAAGAAAATTAAATGCAACTGATATATTATAAAAAAAAATTGCTGCAGGCATGGTGGCGCATGCCTGTAGTCCCAGCACCGGAAAGGCTGAGGCAGAAAGGATCCTCGGCCCAGGAGTTTGAGTGCTGTGAATGCTACAGGCTGAACCCACGGCAAACTCCAACTCTAACCCTGGGCAACAAAGTGAGACTCTGTCTCAAAAAAAAAAAAAAAAAAAAAAATATTCACTGAAACAATGTGTATACTAGTGAACAAGTAGAAACAACTTAAATCGTGCTTGAGGAATGGTGAAGTGGATTATAAAGTGTCTACATGGTTGTGCATCAGTTAAAAACAATGAGGTAGATTGCAATGTCGTGATGTGGAAAGTATCCAAGACAGATTATCAAATGGAAAAACCAAATGCAAGGTGAAGAATTGGCATGTTTGGATCTCAGTTTTGCTTTTAAGGAAGTATGTTTCTGTTCAGGGCAAGTATGAAAAGATCTTCACAATTCTGTAATCTACTAACTCTGAAATCTACTAACTGCAGAGGATTAGAATCAGGTCAGGAAACATTTATTTTTCAATTTTATACATGTTCCTATAGGAACATGTATTACTCTAATAATAAAAATAATAAAACATTTAAAGGACATAGTTTTTATAACAAAAGTGGTATAGCTCACTAAAGACAAATCAGAAAATGCAGGAAAGTACAAAAAAGAAAAGAAGCCCTTTCTAGATACCTTTTCTAGCAATAACTAATTACCATTTTGGTGTATTTCCTTCCAAGTTTACTTGCAGAGGTTGCCTTTTGTTGTCATTTGCCTTTTATATCTGAGTGATCCCACCATATAAACATAACCCTTTTTTCACTAAACATTATCATCAGTATTTTCCTTGTAGACATTTGCTATTAGTTAGTTACAAAGTATTCCACTGAGTAGATATATTGGTTTACAAATGCCTCATGCTGCAGACATTTGGGAAATATTCAGTTTCTTGCTATTATGACATACAATGCTACAAAGGAATATATTTTTTGTAAACCTTTTACTGCATTTAAGATTTCTCCTTTTGGCCGGGCGCTGTGGCTCACGCCTGTAATCCTAGCTCTTGGGAGGCCGAGGCGGGCGGATTGCTCAAGGTCAGGAGTTCAAAACCAGCCTGAGCAAGAGCGAGACCCCGTCTCTACTATAAATAGAAAGAAATTAATTGGCCAACTGATATATATATATAAAAAATTAGCCGGGCATGGTGGCGCATGCCTGTAGTCCCAGCTACCCGGGAGGCTGAGGCAGAAGGATCACTCGAGCCCAGGAGTTTGAGGTTGCTGTGAGCTAGGCTGACGCCACGGCACTCACTCTAGCCTGGGCAACAAAGCGAGACTCTGTCTCAAAAAAAAAAAAAAAAAAAAAAAAAGATTTCTCCTTTGGATGGTGTCACAGAGGTGTAAATACTGGGTCAAGTGCATCTGGCCAGATTGTTTTCCAAAAGAATTCTCTTTATTTTTATCATCCCGTCGACACGGTCCATTTCACCCCAGCTCCCCAATACTGGGGACAATCATTTGAAAAAGCCATTTCTGAAACGATTGGCATGTCTAGGTGAAGCATGTAGAAGCATTCATTGTACTATTCTTGCAAATATTCTGTGGGTTTTGAATTTTTCAAAATAAAATGTAAAAGAAATGTAACTGACGATGAGAAAGCAGGTCTCAAGTCAGAATTTACGTCTCTCCTAATTTGCATTTTCCCCATTCATTAATACCTCCCTTTGAAATTGGGTATCTTCTGTCACCGGGAGCTGTGAGCATTTTCCCAGATGGTATAGTTTCTCTTATATGTTTTCTTATCCTTTATTCAATAAATAAAGGGTCATAAATTCTATTGATTTTCATGTGACAAGAACATTAGACTCTCGCATTTGCTTACAAATCTTTTGTCTAGCCTTTTTTGTCCTGACATCTGTTTTATTTTTGTGTATTATAGTTGACTCCTTAGTTGAGCCCATAGTTGTCCATTGATTTCTACCGTCATTGCTAAACTGAGAAAATTCTCTTTTCTCTAAAGATTTGACAACTAATAAGCTTCATTTCTCTGTGGATTTTTTTTTTTTTTTGAGACAGGGTCTCACTCTTTCACCCAAGGTAGAGTGCCGTGGCATCATCATAGCTCACAGCAAACTCAAACTTCTGGGCTCAAGCGATCCTCCTGCCTCAGCCTCCAAGTAGCTGGGACTACAGGCATGCGCCACCATGCCTGGCTAATTTTTATACTTTTTGTAGAGACGGAGTCTCACTCCTGCTCAGGCTGGTCTCGAACTCCTGATCTTAAGCAATCCTCCCGCCTAGGCTTCCCAGAGTGCTAGGATTACAGGCATGAGCCACGGTGCCCAGCCCTGTGGACTGATTTTTGACTGTGTGTTTATTCTTTGCTTGGCTGTGGAGAGGGGAGGCTCCGAGTTGGCTGACCCACCCCCACTCTCCTCTTTAACCCCTCCTTCCCCTCTGCTCCTGGGGAGGCCAGAGCAGTGGTGAAGTGGGAAGAGCTGGGAGCCACGCTGCCTTCATCAGAGGGGAGCGATATCCGCTCTTAAGCCACTAACGCACTTTGCTGAGCGTCCTCTTTTCCTATCTTTTAAATAATAGCTTCATGGGGATATAATTGAGCTTTATAGATAATATTTTTATGCATTGAGATCTACATCAATCCTTGACCACCAACCTCTGCCAGATGTTCACCTCACCAACGTTGCTGTGCAGAAGACGTCTCCCGACTACCACCCAAAGAAGGTGAGGGAGCCTGGCCTCTGGTCTCCAGGGACCCAGCCTCCTAGGGCTGGGCTGGGAGTGCCGGGGGGGACTATGTCTGGGGCTCACAATTCACAGGGGCAGGGCCCAGGGCGAGAGTACAACTGGAGGTACAACGTACCATGGGTCTAAATATTTCAAACTTACAAATCAAACTAATGCACCCCTATGCAAAATGTGTCCCCTACTCCTACCTTGACATGTATCTTCTATTGATCAATTGATCAACTAATGTGTCACACAGATATACTTTATATCTATCTAATCTATATAAAATAACCTGCAAGGACAGCTTCAAATGTAGAATTCTCAGACTTCTCAAGAGGTAAGGGCCAGATCAGAGGGGCGCAGGCGAGGGGGCCCCCTGCTCACACCTGCTTTCCCTCCACTGGTTTCATCCCACACAGTGGGGGCCTTGTGCATACACACCCCTGCAGACAGCAGCCTGGTGGTCACCCCTTGGCCCTGGGATGCACACACGGCCAGTGCAACCTGTCCTCAGGAAGGCAGGCTCAGGGAGACGCCTACGCAGGCTGTGTGGGCAGGGACTTCGGGGTCCTGGGAGCCAGTCCTCCTGGGCATGCAGAACTTTTGCCCCACAAGGAGGGGCACATCCAGTCATCCCAATCACAGGACCTGGGGCTGGCCCCGCTTGCCTACACCTAAGGGCAGTCATCTAGGGTCCCAGCTAACTGAGTCCCCTCTCCCCACCCGGCTGCCTGGCCCCAGGGCTGCAAGTGGATGCTCCAGCGCTTCCGGCAGTACCTGGCGTCCAAGCACGGGCCCCAGGCCGTGGAGATGCTCTTCAGCGACATGGACAACATCTTTGTCAAAAGCCTGCAGAGCGTGCAGAAGGTGATCATTAGTGACAAGCACTGCTTCGAGCTGTACGGCTACGACATCCTCATCGACCAGGATCTCAAACCGTAAGTGAGTGGGTGGGTGGCCCAGTGAGCCAGGAAGTCATGCTTTGTGCACTCTGCATCCAGACTGTGCCCAGGTTTGAATCCCAGCTCTGCTACTTCCTAGCTGTATAACCTTGGGCATGCTTCCTTTTTCGGTGCCTTAGTTTGCCCATCTGTAAAATGGGGGTGGTCATTGTGCCTATACCTTATAGGATCGTTATGAGGATTAAGTGACATATAGTCTGCAGAGCACTGAGCAACACGTGCCTGTCACGAGAAGTCCTTTCCTGATCATCTGCTGAGTCAGGGAGCTTTCCCTGGCACCAGGCAAGCCCCCTCTGTAAGTCCCGGTGCTTTGAGGATGCAAATCACCATGTAAGGGAATACCATTACAGCGTCGGTCCCTGCCAAAAATTTGGTGCACTCCACCGCGCTCATGGAGGAGATTGATCTGATACGTAGCACAAGCCTGACCTGGCAGGGACCACAGTGATGGCCTCACCTGGGGGGACATGGAAGCCCAGTGGGGTGTTTGGGGAGCTTGAGGTCACGTAGCAAGTCAGAGGCAAAGCCAGGTCCGGGGTCCAAGTACCTGGGCTGAGCTGCTCCCCACCGGCACTGCCGGCTCCAGGACCCTGTTCAGGGTCACCGTAGGTGCTGAGGGGCTTCCTGAGCCGGGAGGAGGAGCCCCAGAGCAAGACCTAAGCCAGGCCCTGGTTCAGGAACAAGATCTCAGCAGCAGCGGGTCTCTCTCCTTTGCCTCTTGCAGCGAGGTGAGGGGCAGCCGTGGGCCTTGCAGTGGACACTGTGCAGGGATATGCTCAGGAGGAGGCAGCACACAGTAGAAAGGGGCCCTGGTCTCCTGCTGGCTGAGCCTACCCCTCTGCCCAGCGTCCTGTCTGCAAAATGACGGGGTTGTAAGCTGCAGCGCCTTGGGCTACTTTCAGCCTGCAAATACCTTGAGTATGACCTTCAGAATGATTTTTTTTTTTCACCAATCTCCCCGCTTCTTCCCCCAGCCCTTAGTAACCCCCATTGTACTTCGGTCTCTATTGCATTTGACTATCTAGGAACTCCACCCTAAGTGGACTCATATGGCCTATTTGTCCTTTTGTGCGGCTCATTTCACTGAGCAGTAACATCTTCAGTTGTCATCCCCGTTGCAAACATGTAATTTCATTGACTTTTAATTGTTAAATGCAATGTAAGGTCAGCACATTGTGAGCCAGTGGAATGGCCCTATTGGGCAGCACAGGTCTAGAGGTTAAATGCTTCAGGCTCGGGCCCAGAACTGTGTGAGTCATGGCCCAGCTGCCACCACTGAATGCCTGGTGTGACCTTGACAAGTTACTCTCCCTCTCTGTGGCTTCAGTTCTCATCCATAAAATGGGAATAATGACCTGATAGGATAGGATTTAAGGATCCAGTGAAATATCCGCAGATAGAGTGCTAGCATAATGCCTCGTACCACAGGAGGTTATCAATAAGATGGCTCAATTTTGTTATATTATTACAACTAGGACACAGGATAGCTCTGATGACCAGAAGATGATATTCCTGTGGAACTACGGTGGCTCAGCGTTACATCGAAAATCCCCTACCTGATAGGGAGGTGAGACTGTCTCTGCGCTCTGCTCCCCCGCCTCAGTCGGCCTCATCAGTACAAAGCGTTGGCCGGGCCAAGGGCTGCCCAGAGGGCCCAGGCCTGACCACCAGGCATGAGGGGTGCAAGGACAGACCTGCGTGCTCCCAGCTCCGGCCATGCCATGCAGTTCCCTCTGGGCTGGCAGGGCCCTTCCGCTCCCTTCTTGTCAGGAAAACTCTCCCTTGCTTCAAGATCAATTTTCTTTCATTGCATTTATTGCAGAGCAAAATTTATAAAGGGCCTGCTTGGTGCCAGCCGCTGTCCTGATGTGCTGGCTGCCCACCGTGTCCGTGGGCTTATACCGGGGATGGAGCAGGCTGCAGGGAACGCAGAACAAACACAATACCATAAACGGCGAATCCCACGCAGTGGGTGTATGGGAGTTAGATCAAGCAGGGTGACAGGCAGAGAATGGGTGGGGACCACAGAGGGCCTGTGCGAGGCAGGTGACATGTGCAGCTGAGACCCAGAGGACAACAGGAGTCACTGTGAGCAGAGATTTTGCAAAGGCCCCGAGGTGGAACCGAGCCTCCTCTGCGCAAGCCTTGGCAGGTCCCCGCAGGACGCCACCGTGCTTCTTGCGGGTTTCCACATGGGGCCAGGCAGTGGCAGGGGGTGACTCTGGGGGTGCTGGTCCGAGCGGTCAGGTGCTCCAAGGTGCATCACTGCGGAGTGCGTAATGCCAGTTGCCTTCTTCCTCCTCCTCGGGCAGTTGACCTTCCTCAGGGGGTAGGCACCTGGGTCTCTTCGCCTCTCGTCCTCCGCCAGTGACCCCATCCTGTCTGTGGCTAACACCAATACCACTCAGGATGCCGGGGGACTCCCAGTCGAGACCTTGCCCCTGAACCCCAGATCATTGATGGTCTGGCAGCCTGTGACTTCCTTATTGGGCAGTCTGACAGCAGACTCAACCTCAGAGTACCCAAAGAATCCTGCCTCCCAGACTCAGGGGGACACAGCCTTCCGCCACTGGCTGCCAAGCAAGGGCCCAGGAGCCGTTCTGGAGCGTCCCTCTCATTCCCTCCACGTCTGTTCCTCAGTCGAGCTGCTGCCCAGCATGCGAATCTGTTTGGTCACCCCTCTACCTCCCATCCTGTCCTGCCCACTGTTCCTCTGCTCCTGGACAAGCCATACCACCTCCTCCCTGGTGCCTGCCACTGCTCTGTCCCCTCGGGCTCCCCTCCAGCACAGCAAGCCTCAGAGCGATCAGGTCCCTCCAGTGGCTCCCCAGGGTTTGGGTAGGACAAAACCCAAAGGCTGCAATGCCCTGTGCCTGCCAGCCTTCGCTGACCTCATCTCCTTCCATTTGGCACTCTGCCCACCTTGTTGCCCCCTCGGGCTCCGTTCCTTGGGCCGAGGCCCCCCGACTCTGGCCAGGCAGGCCCCTTCTCACCCCGGCAGGTCGACTGCTTCACATGGGCCTTCCTTTGGACCACCAGAGGTCCAGCCTCTCCCCAGTGTTGACCCCCCTGTCCCCATCCACATGCCGTATCCCCAAAACCTAGCACAGGTGCAGACACCAAATCAACATCCTGTTTACACGGAATTATTTTTTCCCTGCCTGACAGGGGCTGCAAGTTTGACCTGCGTGTGTATGTGCTGGTGACGTCGCGGTGAGGAACTAAGGCAGTGGGGTCCTTCCTCCAGGGGGGTTGAGGGGTGGCCGGACTAGGGTGGGCGGAAGAGCCATCCAGGGGCACTTGTGTGAGCTTTCTGGTCTTCATCTGTGCCTGGAAGCGCAGCGACATCTGGACAGGATGGGGGTGGGCAGGTGGACCCAAGTTCTAGCATCTTAGATGGCCCCAGCATCTAGATCTGCCCCCTACCTGCGCGCTTATATTCATTCAGGCCATCCAATGGAGACACAGCAAACATTTATTGGAGCACCGTACTAAGTACGCAAGGGCCCTGGTTACTTACAACTGGTTTTATTCATCCAGTCCTCCTTAATCAATCCAGTGAGGAGGTTCTATTATTCTTCATTGTTACAGATGAGAGGAACAGAAACCAGAGGTTGTGTGACTTGGCCAAGGTCACACAGGCCAGTGAGTGGCAAGAACTCGGATTGCAAACCCCAGCCTCCTGGCCTCAAAGCGCCCACTCTGTTGGCCACTTGCTCTACTCTACTCCATTCATTTGTTGCACTCATTCGCAGATGTTTAAACCTTCGTTGGTGTGCTCCTGTTGTGCTGGGCACAAGGATAAAGGATGTCCGAGACAGGCTCAGCCCCTGGATCCTCTGGACCTCACCATGTGTGGGAGCACGGAACACACCCTGAGCAGGGCCGCGACACACGTGGTGGTGGAGGCACAGAGAGGCCCATTGTCATTTTGTTCCCTCTGGATCCTGTCCCGGGGGAGGGAGCGGGGTAGGACTCCAGGGGAAGCTGATGTTGGAGCAGAGGCTTGAAGGCTGATTTGGGAAAGAAGGAGAGGCACTCCATGTTGGAGGGAACGGGCAGGTGAGGACCTGGACAGTGTGGGAGTTGCCTTGATGTTCTCCCCTCCCTTCTCTCTCTCTCTCTGTCCCACCCTGTCCGTCCGTCAGTACACCCCACTGCGGGCCTGGCTCTACCGGATGGGCTTCGGCCCGATTCCTCCAGACACCGCTTCACGCGTGAGCAGCATCGATGACCAGTGATTTCCGGGGATCTGCCTACCCCGCGCCCACCGCACCCGCGCCCTTTCCGTCCTGCGGGCCAATCCCAACAACCTTCTCCATGCACGATGCTGCCGGGTGGCCTGTTGTGGGTCTGGGCACGGGAGACACAGCAGTGGAGGGACACAGGGACTGGTCCCCTTCCCTGCGGAGCTTCGGTCTTGTGGGGGAGATCCCAGGGGAGGTAGCCCCGCTCTGCTCAGAGCCGCCACCCCAACCTGCTTTGCCAGGGATGGTTTGGTGGTGGGACTGACATCGCACCTTACTATATCGTAGTGATCTGACAGTTAAGCCCTTTGAGAATGTCCATCACTTTATCTTATCTTCAGTGGCCTTAGTCATGGCTCACTGCATTCATTCCAAATAATGCTATTTTCACCCATCCAGATTGGCAGGGACCAAAACTTTGATTGATAACACACTGCCTTGGCAAGGCTGGGTACAATGTTGCTGGCGGGAGGTGTAATTAGTTGCGTTACAACCCCTTCTTAGGACAACCTGGCAACTATGCTATCAAAAGACAATAGCACACACCCCTCTGCCCAGCACTCGCTCTTGGGAATTAGAGCTGGACGGATGCACCGCCATGCAGGGGAAACAGGCTTAGAGGTTATTCGCGTGCGCCAGCTCGTTTGTGGAGTGAAATGATAGGAAACAAGTGCGAGACCAAATGGCCTCATACATACATGGAATACCGATGATTGGTTAGAAAGGAAGGGGTGAAACCGTGCTTCGTGGTTACTGGATATGGATCATCTACAACATGTTATAGTTAATCGGGGGAAACAAAGTATGGTATGAGAACAGTGTAAAAAAAGATGTGTCTTGAATCACGCGTTAAATTATATCTTTGGGCCAGGGCGTGGTGGCTCACGCCTGTAATCCTAGACTCTGGGAGGCCCGAGGCGAGGATCGTTCGAGGTCAGGAGTTTTGGGATCAGCATGAGCAAGAGCAAGAGGTTCCCTGTTTCTACTACAAATAGAAAGAAATCTAGGCCAGACAACTAA